CAAGCCAGTTCTGCCTTTAAGAAGCGATTGATCCGTTTATTTCAGACTAGAATGGTGCTCCAGAACATTCTCAGGCACACTTTCAACAAGGGCTGAGCAATTGCCATCGAGGAGGAAGCTCTCTTATCCTCTGCTGCAAGGAGTGGAAGGGGTGAGGGCCGGTCTGCAGCATTTGGTACTGTTATTTCAAAAGGTACAAACTTGTTAAGGGGGGAAAAAAAGACAAAATGGGAGACCTTGTTTCCAAGATCCTAAACGACTCTTGCAAACAGATGTACTTGTAAGTTTTCCTTTTGGACGTGGAGTTGACAGAAAAGTGAGAAGCTTTGGCCTTTTGTCAATTGCATAATTGAATCTACAGCATTAGCAGCTGCTGGAGATCAAGCAGGACATTCCTGAAAGGTGCAGCCCACTTGGAGGTAGAAGTTCATTTATTTACATAATGTTGGGCTTCAGTCCCCAAATGTTTGACTTTTTCTCTCCTGCAGAAAATATGATCTTATTCTGATGATTTAAGGATGACCTTCACAGTTCTTTGCATGAAAAGAATCCTTTAAAATTATCTACTAAGAAAAACATTCTATAATTCCTCTGAATGTTATAAACAATATCTTTTGGGGCAACTCACAGCACATGTTCCAGCATTCATATCAACATTTAATTTCCCCTCTGTGTGTATGTATGTTCTACACTCCTCAAATCTGATGTTAAATCATTTAATAGAGAGAATTGACAGCACCAGGAAAATATTTGGATGGACTGTCTGGAGTTGCCATTATTGGCTTTAATTATGACCTACTGGCTCTTGGGTTTTGAAGCAGCCAGAAAATGAGATATGTGCGCCAAAATATTCATTAGAATTCCCTTCTCAGTCATTGTTCAGAAAGAAAAAGTTTCCTCCTGGCTCTCTTCTTCGGTGTTTTAAGTGGAGTCATTAATGTGCCAGATTTTTTAAAGGATTCATCAGAAAACAAGATTATGTGCATACCTTGTATTTTGCATTAAAAACTATCTTGAAAAGGTCAAATGCCCCTTTGCTCGGATTCTATTTCCCTGGAGACAGAAGTGGTTTTGCAGCCATGAAGTTAACTGGCCTTCTCTTCCCAGGGCTGCTCCTCCGACCCTGCTCTCTTGCATAGACTCGAGCCTATCAGTGTTGGAACTAGAAGCACTGGGCCAGCACGGCTAGGTCTCCAAAGAAACTAATCCGAAAAGGTGGCGTCATTTTTTCTGTCCTTGCATGCTCATTTCCCTGGAATGTAAAATCTCAGAACCCTAGAGTAGGAAAGGGGTGGAGAGGAGGAGTCTCAGAAATCTGATTCTATGTTCTCTTAAAAAAAAAAAAAAAAAACTCATTTATTTATTAGAAAGGTAGAGCTACAGAGAGAGTGGGAGAGAGACACACAAAACGATCTTCCAGCCGTTGGTTCACGCCTCAAATGGCCACAACAGCTGGGCCAGGCTAAAGTTAGTAGCCAGGAACTTCTGGGTCTCCCACATGGGTGGCAGCAGCCCAAGCACTCAGGCCAGCCTCCACCATCTTCCCGGATTCATTAGCAGGGAGCTGCATGGGAAGTGGAGCAGCCGGGACATGAACTGGTACCCATATGGGATGCTGGCATTGCACACAATGGTTTTATCCACTACACCAAAATGCTGGCCCCTCTATGTTCTCTTCTAAGAATGATTACTCCAAGGTGAAGTGATACACCCACTACTTCAACTTTGTGTTCTGGCGTGGGGCAAGAGAAAGTGCCTTAAAAAGAAAAGCCAGGAGGACCATGTTGTGGCTCAGTGGGTTAAGCTGCTGCCTGAGACACCCACATCCCATACAAGAGTGCAGGTTTGAGTCCCTGCTCCTCTGCTTCAGATCCAGCTTCTTCCTTTTGCACATCCTGGGAGGTGGCAGGTGATTGCTCGAGTACTTGGGTTCCTGCTACTCGAATGGGATATCGGGATGGAATTCCTGGCTCCTCGCTTCAGCATTGCACAACCCTGTCTACTGAAGATTGATCTCTCTCTCTCTCTCTCTCTCTATCACTCTGGTCTTTCAAATAAATAAGTCTTTTGTAAAAGTCAGAGCATCCAGGGCCGGCGCCGTGGCTCACGTGGTTAATCCTCTGCCTGCCGCACCGGCGTCCCATGTGGCGCCGGGTTCTAGTCCCAGCTGCTCCTCTTCCAGGCCAGCTCTCTGCTGTGGCCCAGGAGTGCAGTGGAGGATGGCCCAAGTGCTTGGGCCCCGCACCCCATGGGAGACCAGGAGGAAGCACCTGGCTTCGGATCGGCACAGCGCGGACCGTGGCAGCCATTTGGGCAGTGAACCAACAGAAGGAAGACCTTTCTCTCTCTCTCTCTCTCTCTCTCTCTCACTGTCTGTAACTCTGTCAAATAAATAAATATTTTTTAAAAAAGAGCATCCTTAGTTGCTACTATGAAACAGAGCTGCTATTTAATGAGCTTTTGATTGCACTGCATGCTGTGGTTGATGCTTTCATGCAGGTCTCATCTGCATCATGACAAGCCTATAAGGTGAAGATTATTATTCCCACTTTACAGCTAATGAGACTGAGGTTAAGGTGATTAGCCCACAATTACAGGACTAGGAGGAGAGAGGGAATCCAAGGGCAAACTCAGGGTTGTCTGACTTCAAAGCCTGGCTGCCTTATTATCCCCCCCTCACCCCATGCTGTTTGCCACATGAAACAGGTGTGAATCAGCTGAGCTATCGTGGACTCTTACGTCACTTTAATTTTCAAATAATAGGGTGAGGAAAGAGTCCTCTGCAGTGATAAAGTGGAGAGAGATGCTGCCTGTGTCCAAACAGCGTCTACTGACCAGAACTTGGTGACAGTTCAAGAGGGCTCATATAGACACAGCTATTTCCCAGGACCTCCTTGTCATTCTTAACATGACAGTTTGCCCTGCTAGCTTTTAAGAGACTTCCCGGCTTTTAGTGAGAGTTGGCTGATTCGGTGTTGACAATTTGTCTTTCGTTTAATAGAAAATTGGTGGGGGGAATTTGGGACAGATGTTCATTTGGGGAAAAAAATAATTTGGAGTTTTGTTGTTGTTTTTTATGCTCAAGGTCATCTAGGGCTGGAAGAACAGATGTGGTATGAATTAGGGAAGTTTATCTGATGATTGTCTACAGTGGCACAGATGATGGGGTGATTGCCTGGAAATGATTGAGTTTTCCATTGAGACATGGTTTGGGAAAGTGACTTCATGCTTCAGAAGAGCTAATAAAGTTATGACAAAGTGGAACATGACATGTTAAAGGTTCGCACATGACATGGAGACATGCAGGGGAACATCTACGTTTGGTAACCTGGGTGCCAGAGAAGACCGTGGAAACTGAAAATTTACTTCCTTCCAAAGAGAAAATCTGTATCCTCGGGACTCCTTAGGGATAACCAGGCTGATGCCTTCTCCCGGGGCACCAAGTCCTCTGCCAGGAGGTGCCTGCCTGGCCAGGGAGACACAGGGGCATCACCTCCACCTTGAGTTGTTTCGGAGCAGATCAACTCATCCACCGACACCTTCTGCCGCCCAGGCTCCTGCAATAGCCTGGAACGCACGCCTGGAACACAGCCCAGCAGACAGTGGGTTGGTTGATCTACTGCGATGGAATGAGAGAATGAAAGGCCCTAAATCAGGGACTCCAGCCTGACTTCTCACCCGGGTCAGGTTCTGGTGCTGTGACCCAGCCACATCTCCATAATCCCTTTGACAGATGTGTGTAAGCTTGTTGGGACCACCATAAAACAAACAAACAAACAAACAAAACCCCACAGCTCGGGTGGCTTCATAAACAGAAGTGTAGTTTTCACAGCTCTGGAAGCTGCAGGTCCAATGTCAAGGTGACGCAGGCTGGGGTCTTTTGAGGCCTTTCCCCTTGGCTTGCAGACGGGCACCTTCTGCTGTGTCCTCACAAGGCCTTCGTGTCCAGACACCAGTCAGATTAGATTAGGGACCACACGTAGGACTTATTTAATCCCAACTTCTTTTTTTTTTTCTTTTTTAAAGATTTGTTTTTATTTATTTGAAAGGCAGAACTACAGAGAGGCAGAGAGAGAGAGAGAGAGAGAACTTCCATTGCTGGTTCACTCCCCAACTGGCTGCAACGGCCAGAGCTACACCAATCTGGAGCCAGGAGCCAGGAGCTTCTTCCAGGTCTCTCATGTGGGTGCAGGGGCCGAAGGACTTGGGCCATCTTCCACGGCTTTCTCAGGCCATAGCAGAGAGCTGGATCAGAATTGGAGCAGCCGGGACTCAAACTGGTGTCCATATGGGATGCTGGCGCTGTAGGCAGCAGCTTTACCAGCTATGCCACAACGCCAGCCTCCCCAATTTCTTCTTTAAAGGTCCTATTTCCAAGGGGCCAGCATTGTGGCACAGTGAGTTAGACTGCCATGTACAACACCAGCATCTCATCCAGGTGCCTGTTCAAGTCCTGTCTGTTCCACTTCTGATCTAACTCTCTGTTAATGGCCTGGGAAAGCAGTAGAGGAGGAACCAGGTGTTTGACACCTGCCACCCACAAGGGACACCCCAATGGAGTGCCAGGTTCTTGGCTTACAGCCATTTGGGACTGAATCAGCAGGTGGAAGATTGCTTGCTTGCTCACTCTCTCGTGCTCTCTCTCTCTCTCTCTCTCTCTGTCCTCTGCCTCTCCCTCTCTCTGTAACTCTGCCTTTCAAGGAAATAAATACATTTTTTAAAGGAAAAATGGCCTAGTTTCCAAATACAGTCACATTCTGAGTTCCTGGGGGTTAGGAGTTTAACATATAAATTGAGGGGGTAGGCACCATGCAGCCCAAAATAAGTGACCCCAGTGGTCCATCTGCCCCCCACAGCTGGACTTTCTGGGGTTGCCTGTAAGACAACCCGGAGCACACTGCGCCTCGCTCCCCACCGTAGCCATTCTCTATCCGAGGTCAATTCCTGCTTCTCCTAATGCCACCGCCCCCCAGTGGAGCCACCTGCTGTCTGCCACTCACCCAGGCTGGCATTTTTCCCATCACCTGCAGGGCTCTGCTCTCCAAACACCTGCCCCTCTGGCTGCAGTTAACCCTTCAACTCTGGCTGTTTTATTGGATACAACCCTAAAGCATAAAAACTCTTGTTCTTAGTGCATTATGACAACCAAGGTGCATTTTGAAGTAGCTGAAGGGTGACAATGAGTGGGCCGAACAAAGCTGAGTGACTTCACAAAGATAAAATTGAACCCACAATCACACAATGACATTATGCGCCACCCACAAGACCTAGCTCAATTGGTTTGAATAAGGCTTGTGTCAGTATTTTTTAAAAGCCCTGTCCAAGGGCCAGGCACTGTGGTGTAACAGATTAAACCACTGCCTGCCGTGCCTGTATCCCATAAGTGTGCCGGTTCGAGTCCCAGATGCTTCACTTCTGAAATCTAAAAAAAAAAAAAAAAAAAATCCCTCCATGCACACACGTGATTTTTTAAAAAATTTTTATTCATAGTTTAAACTACATTTTAAAAAACATATATTTTATTTATTTGAAAGGCAGAGTTACAGAGAGAGAAGAGGAGAGAGAGGTCATCCATCCTCTGGTTCACTCTCCAAATGGCCGCAATGGCTGGAGCTGGGACAGGCCAAAGCTGGGAGCCAGGAGCTTCTGCCAGGTCTCCCAGACACAGGAGATTTTAAAGGCAGAGAAGGGGAAGGACCCCTGCTCTAACAGGTGAAATGATTTCATCAAGCTGAGACAAAACATTATCAACCAGATCCTAACACAGGAGCAAAAAGAGGCGGGGAGGCCCTGTGCCAGGTGTCACCTTGGACGTGGAGTGGAGCCCTCCGCCCTGGAGTCCAGGCTCACCCTAATATAGAGGTGGGTGACTCTCCTTTCAGCTCTACCAGCCCTTTAGTGTTAAGCACCTGCTCTTTGGTCTAACAATTTGGGGGTGGGCCGGTGCTGTGGCGTAGCCGGTTAAGCTTCCACCTGCAGCACCAGCATCCATTTTCTGATCTTCTCCCTGTTAACGTGCCTGGGAAAGCAGAGAAAGATGGCCCAAGTGCTTGGGCCCCTGCACCCATGTGGAGGACCTGGAAGAAGCTCCTGGCTCCTGGCTGCCGGCCTCAGCCTGACCTAGCCTGGTTGTTGCAGGCATTTAGGAAGTAAACCAGCGGATTGAAGATTTTCTCTCTCTCTCTCTCTCCTCTCTCTCTCTTTCTCTCTCTCTTTCTGTACTCTGCCTTTCAAATAAATAAATGAATATTTTTAAAAAATTTGGGGGTGGCTTACTAGTGTCTTCTGTTGCATAGGGCAACCTGGATGAGGCTCAGCAACATTTCTGGGCACACACACGCATCACTCTTGCCAGGCCCTCTGAGCATGGCCGGCAGGCTGTGGAGGTGAAAGGCCCCAGCAGAGGTGAAACCGACAACCAACCGGCTTTTCAGCTCAGGCAACAGTGCTACTCTTTAGATGGCAGCAGGTAAGCGCCAAGCATTGGGTTGGCCTCTGCAGGCTTGCTGGGACTGGCCTGCAGCCTCTCCAGGGGGACGCCCTGCCGGCTGTGGGACTCTGTCCCCAGGCCTCCTACCAGCTCCCCAGCTCCCGGGTCCCTGCTCTGTGGGGAGGGGGTCTGGTCCAGCTCTCCCCGCAGCCTTTCCAACACGGGTAAAGCCCAATCCTGGGCTTCCGGGACTTGGGACTTGCCTTTTGATTCTCAAGAGCCTTTTCTCCTCGCAACAAAACCCTCTTCTCTGCAAATAAAAGGCTTTGGCTTCCAAAACTATTGTTTTTGATGTGGCTTCAAGAGGCTATTTTAAAAGTCAGAAAACTGAACATTGACTGTTTTATTCTGACTCCTTTCTCTTCCCATTCCGGTTGTACCAATCTGAATTCTCCTTAAGGCAAAGCCTCTGACTTACTAGGGAAAAGGTCAAGTGGAAAAAGTGTCGCAAAGAAAAGCAGGAAGAACAACACTGGGAGTTTCTGTGTGTGAGAGAAACACTGCGACAGGGACCACGCTGCAGTCCCTGCACCCGAACCCAGCAAGGGAGCGGAGCGGGTGTTCCAGCTGAGTCTACACAGGCAGCAGGAAGAACAGGAGCAAGATTTCTCTCCATAATGCAAGTCCTAAGCCATAACCATTAAAACATTGTTTTTTTCAACAAGTCAACAGCATGAAGACAAAAGGGCGGGGGTTGCTCTAGATTAAAGAAATGTTCAAGATACAACAATTTTGTTTGCTCTCTGTTCTGAGCAAACCATTGTCAACGACATTTTTGAGACACTTGGGCAAATTTGATTATGGACTGTGTATAAGATGATACCGCAGAATTATTGTTAACATTAAGTTTGACAATAGCACTTTGGTTATGTAAGGAAACATTTTTTTTAAAACAGATACATACTGAAGAATGTGTGGGTAAAATGATGTCAGGGCAAAAAAAAAGGAAGGAAAAAAAACAAGTATTTCATCCAAAGAAACAAACCAAAATAAACAGAAAATAAAAAGGGGTAGGTGATCAAGTGAAGCAAAATCATGATAATTATTGGATTTTAATGATAGGCACATGGGGATTCATTGTATTATTACCTCTGTTTTTTGCATAAGCTTGCAAAGTTTCGTAATAATTTTTTTAATTGTTAAACTGGTCCAGGAAAAGACAGACTGGGCAACGCAAGGGAATTAAAAGGAGTAGAAACAGATTCAAATATTTACTGCTAAGAATTTATTGTGTTACTGATTTGTGGGCAGATGAACTCTTCTTCAAATAAAATCTGATATGGAGACCCAACATACAAAACAAAAAAGGATGGAAATGTTCCATGAGAAGCTGGAGAAAGAATCTAACTTTTTTCCTTCCCCCTTTTTGCCCAGGAAACTTCAAAAGAAACTCAGGAGAGCTCTGTGTCTTCGGAACACAGCTTGAAAAACTCAGTTTACATACTAGACAACTGGTTACCTATTTGGAGGAAAACTAAAGTTAATCCCTACCTCACATCATATACCAAAATAATCCCATTTGCACTAAAATGTTTAAAGTACAAAGCCAAATCATAAAAAATGTTAGAAAAAAATAAATGGTTATGTAAAATATTCAATCAGAGGACTATTTAAGCAAGCCATCAGTTAGAGAAATTACAAGGAAAAAAATTGAAACTTGATTACATGTGTATTTATAAGCTGGGTTTGACAAAATATAAGCCATATTTCACAAAAAGGAAAGAAATAATGTATGTATATATGTGGCAAACTTTAATATTCTTAATAAGGAATATTTCAAATCAATGATCATATTGAATAAATGAATCAGGAACTCTATGTATATGTGTATATATATAAATATATATACATGGAAATATAAGATCCTATGGTCATGAAAAACAATCTCACTAATGATCAAAGAAATATTATGAGTGAAAGTAATAAAGAGATGAATTCATGCTGACTCCTATTTCTGGAGAGGCAAGATAAGCTGAAAATTCCACTAATATAACATGTCTAGAAATACCCAGGAAAATAACTTAAACATTCTTTTAAGTGCATAGCTGAACTCCTATGAAAATATGGCAATTCCACAGGAGGCCAAACGAAGGTAAGGACAAAGCTGAGTAGATAGCTTGAGCTGAAAGGCAGTTGCTTGGACTTTGGAGAGGGATTTCCTCTGCTTGGTAACCGAGAGACTTGCCGAGGACCAGAAGAAAAGGAAATCAGGTACTCAAGTAAACCCAGGACCCAAAAAGCCTGGGCATTGTGGTACAGTGGATCAAGCCATTGCTTGGAATGCCCATATGCCATGCTGGAATGTCAGCTCAAGTCCCAGCTTCCAATCCAGTTTCCTGTTAATGCATCCTGGAAGGCAGCAGATGATGGCTCAAGTACTTGGGTCCCTCCCCCCATGTGGGGGACCCAGATGGAGTTCCTGGCTTCTGGCTTTGGCCTGGCCCAGCCCTGGCTGTTGTTGACTTTTGGAGAGTGAGCCAGCAGATGGAATATCTCTCTCTTTCTCTCATTCTGCCTTTCAAATAAACAAGTAAATAAATTTGTTTTAAAAATGCCATGCTTCATGTCTCCAGCACAGACGCACTTGTGCATGGTTTATGAATATCAAATCAATAAATTAATATAAAAATGCTCCTCATCTGGTAATAATACTGGAATAGTCTGAAAAAGTGCATGTAAACCTTTCTGGAAAGTAGCTGATAAAGGTAATAGAGTTATCAGAATAAACTAGAAACCAAATATGTTTAAAGTTATTAAAAAGACAAAATGTAATCTCAAGCACTTGAGAAAAGAACAAAGCTTTTTCTTTTTAAAGATTTATTTTATATTTGAAAGACAGAGTTACAGAGAGAGGTACAGAGAGAGAGAGAGAGAGGTCTTCCACCTGCTGGTTCACTCCCAAAATGGCCACTACGGCTGGAGTTGAGCTGATCCAAAAGCAGGAGCTTCTTCCAGGTCTCTCACATGGGGTGCAGGGGCCCAACGACTTGTGTCAGCCCCAAGAATAAATCTTTTTAAAAAGCCATAAAAAATAATGTGTTTACCAATCAGCTGATACAATATTAGCAAAGAAGGCTACTGCTCAATGTTATTAAGGATATAGGAGATTGCTATTGATATACTGTTGGTCTAAGTGAAAAATGATCCTTCCAGAGGGCAATTTGACAATATGTGGCAAATGCTTTAATAACAACAAAAAAGAGGAATATCTATTGACCCCATAAGCTCACTTATAATAAATTATCCTTAAAAATGTCATGAAATTACCCAAAGAGGAATGCAAAGATTAGCAGGGGGAGGCATTTTTGATAGAATATAGGGGGAAAACATTATGTCCAATAGCAGAAGAATGGTCCAAAAAATTATGATAGTTTCATATGATGAAATACTGTATAGGAAATAAAAGCCATGTGGTATACTGGGGCCAGTGTTGTGGTGCAGTAGGTAAAAATGCTGCTTGCGATACCAGCATTCCTATATCACAGTACCAGTTTGAGTCCCAGCTGCTCCACTTCCTATCCAGCTCCCTGCTAAAGTATCTGGGAAAGCAGCAGAAGATGGCCCAAGTGCTTGAGCCCTACC